AAAGTTCATTTATTTCAGTAATGCAACTTAAAAGGTGAAACTAATATATGAGATAAGACTCATTACATGCAAAGCAAAATAGTTCAAGCCGTGATTTGTCATAATTGTGGTGATTATGGCGTACAGCTCATGAAAACCCCAAATCCACGATCTCAGAAAATTAGAATATTNACACACACACACACACACACACACACACACACACACATATACACACCCTTCTGGCTTGAACAAGATACAGTCAGAAGCCTTGTGCAGTAAAGAGATAAAAGCATAGGCACGTACTTGCCTGCTTCAGTCTAAGGATCTTTCTATCTGACCTCATGTTCTGTTAAAAAAAAAAGAATCAGCAATAATTGCTTATTTACTTTATTTGGGATGTATAAAGATAAATGGAAGTTCAGAGGACCCATCTTAGAATCTTAATGATTTGTAAGGCTCTGCCATGCACTTTGTAGGTATGGAATATGCACAAAATCAGAAGCTCTAGATCCTTGTTTTTCTTGAAAGAAGTCATCAAACAAGTTTTCCATTTAGATAACGGATAGTTGGTAGCAGCTGGAAAAGATTAGTTTCATTCTCTTCAATGAATAGTGTGCACAGTTGCAAATATAGTATTGCCAAACATTAAATGATCAGCTGAGTGTTATGAAAGAGGTCTGTTAGGATAGCATAACCTTTCCATCTGGTGGCCTCTAAATGTGTTGGACTTTAACTTCTATACAGTAGTTTTCAACGCACAGGAAGTTTTATCAGTTTTAACATTCTGGAAATCTGGAAAGTACAGTACAGGTAGTCCTTGACCTATGATTGGGTTGCAAGTGTTCAAAATTACGTTGGATCCTCCCTAAAACTACGTATGACCTGATTTAACAATGATCACACACACTGCAGTCACATGATTGCATTTTGGGTGCTGGCAACTGCCTCATGGCAGCTTGCAGGATTCTTATATTTATGGCTTTTGCAGCTTCCTGTAGTCATGTCACTGATTTTCATTTTTTTTTTTTTTGCTGATTTCTCTCACTCACTAGGAAAAAACATCCATTGGGTAAATGTATTTGTTTAACAACCATGGTATTCGCTTAATGATCATCACAAAAAATGTTGTAAAATCAGGTCCGGTCATGAAATGGCCTGTTTAATGACTGCAACAATGTATAAACCATATTTCCAGGTTCAATTATAGTAATAAGTCAAGGACTGTGCAATTTTTTAATATTCTACATTATTTCTATAACTTGATCTGGTTGTTGAAAGCCTTAGGTCAGAATCTGCTAAGATTTGAAGCTTGTATCCAAAGAATTTCCATCTTTTGCAGAACATAGCACCAAAATACATCATTTTCTTCTTACCCAACTCATTCAGTTTAGGGATATTCTGATTTAGTACAGGCAAAATATTTTTTATAGAATAGAGAGATTTTCTTCCGTGCTTTTCAGTCGTTTCACTTCATTTTGGAGGAAATGAAATAAATTTTACTATTTTTCCTCCATGAAGGAAAATTTCCCATTAAGGGTAAATTTTGTAATTATAAGATGGCCAAGAATTAAGCATAATGTGATCATTTCTATTGATATGCAATATCCCAAGTTCTATAAAGTTCAAATAATGACACCATGAAGGGGTTTATTCCACAGCACTTTTTACTCTTAGGACATATGAGCAGTCATGGAATCCCGCAAGTTACAAGAATTCTCTAATGCCTCATAATAACAAAAGAAGTTCAGGTATTGCTAAAGAAATTTTATATATATATGTTGTATTTGTGCTAATAAATAAATAAAGGGAGACTAGTATAGATCTATTTCAAGCTGTTTAGCTCTCATCAGCTAGCCATATCCTTACTGGGAATCGAACCTGTGCTGTATTGCATCTTAGGCAGATGTGTTAACCATTGAGCCACCGAGTTCGACTCCTTATCAGCCAAACCAGGGTGAAAGGTATCTATTTAGATTTACAACCCCCGGTATGCCCAAATATGGGAGGAAGATCACTACTTCCAATATGTGTGTGTGTGTATGTTTGTGGGTGTGTATGTNTGGAGACTCCTGGGAGGGGCGTGGTGGGTGGGGCCAGCCAGGGGTGGGATTTGGAGATTCTCCGAACTGGCCATAACATTAGCTACGGGTTCTCCCGAACCCAGGCAAACCTGTAGCAGCCCACCCTTGGTTATAAGGGAAAGATAATATCAGAGAAGGGAAAAGATTTTCCTTCTACTGCTGTTAATTTGCTGGTGCAAAACCCATTCTTTGGGATTCCTTCAAGTCAATTTACATAACTTCTGTGTAATACCCAAGAGCATCTTTCGGCATCTGTGCTTCATGTTTGAGTGGTTTTTATTTTTGTTTTCACAATGGTAATTAAACCTTTGGAGTTTGGGCTCAGAGGGATTGCTCACGTGGCACCTGTTTGTATGTCCCTGCCTGCATGTCTTTAAACAGACCTCCTAAACCTAGGTAAAATGCAGCTTCTTTAAAGCATTACAGAAGATGCTACAGGAGTGCTTCACATTCCTCCAATTTTAAATTTTAAAACTGGAACCCTGCACAGCAACAATGGCAACACTGCACATAAAACTCTGTTTCTCTGGTTTTTATGAGACAGCTGGCCAACAATTACGATATGAATATCGGATAATGTGAATGATGATAACACACCTTGACAGGAACTGATTGTTATCTGCCTGAAAAATCATGGGGAATCACTTGCTTGATTCCAGAATTTATAAGTCATCAAATAGTTTGTGGGCATAGATATGAGCATCTCTTTACAAAACACAATGATCTATGAGAATATGTGCTCTGACTTAATGATTTTATAGCTGCACCATAAAGTTGCATCCCCACCCACATTGGCAGCCTGAGCAGGTGGGGGTATGACCTTTGAATTGATAGTGACTTATCTCTTTAAAAATATGTATTTAGAAGGGTCTGTGCAAGACACATAATCGTAAGTAATCATATATGTGTGACCAGTCTTTTGAACATGGTTTTCAAGGAGGCATTGTTTTTACAGCGGGCCTTGAACCAGTCTCTGGAAAGATGCTGAGTTTTCTCCACAGGCTTGTTTCTTTAGCTATTCTTATGCTGTTGACCTATTTGCCCATCACAGCTCTTCTATTATTGTTGTCCTAATGGCTGCTCAAAAGGATGAAGCTCATAGAATTTCCCTGAAAATTTGCTTGTCTTTCTCTTTCTCTCAGTTCTTTATTACAGTAAAAAAAGCCAAAAATAATTTTAATAGTGATCATCTCTGATTAAAAATTCTCTGCATTAAGCAACGAGCAGCAGACTTTGAACATTTTTTTTTGCAAATGAAAGAAGTGCCAATGATTTAAATGGGGCACACTCCCTTGTAAGTTTGAAACTGGACTCTATTAAGCAGCTCTCTGAACCAAAACAACTGCAAATAAATAGTAAAGATGACACATAGGTTGCCCATGGCCGACAGTTTACACGTGGCTATTTCTCCACTTTTTTTGCTCCCAAATTATACTGCCCAAGTTTAGTGACACAGCCATAGCTTTTCAGCAACAGAGTTCTCTGATCATTTTGTTCATTAAAGGTAAAGGTTCCCCTCGCACATATGTGCTAGTCCTTCCCGACTCTAGGAAGCGGTGCTCATCTCCGTTTCAAAGCTGGAGCCAGCACTGTCCGAATATGTCTCAGTGGTCATGTGGCTGGCATGACTAAACGCCAAAGGCGCATGGAATGCTGTTACCTTCCCACCAAAGGTGGTCTCTATTTTTCTACTTGCATTTTTTATGTGCTTTCAAACTGCTAGGTTGGCAGAAGCTGGGACCAAGTAACGGGAGCTCACTCCATTACGTGGAGTATTTTCCATAATGAGGGACAAAATTGATGTAATTAGCTTCCATGACATTTATGATATATATATATATTTCTTCCTTAACTTTTCTTCTCCCCTCCCTCCAAAATCCCAAACCCCAGACTCTTGGCGAGAAAAGTCACATTACCAGCCATGATACCTGTGGTTGTCAAAGGATGAAAAAAAAATTAAACTACTCTAATGTCTGGCCTTGCTTTAAAACTATTGCTCACTCCAACAATAGGCAATTTACAAAATATCCATGGCTTTTCTTGGCACAGGATTTTGCTTTTGTAGAATAGAGAATAAATATAGCATTGCTTTGGAGCCGAACAACTAAGGAGTAGAATAAAATCTTTGTCTCCCTTTGAAAGGCTGAGTGTTTTTTCAGACAAATTAGAAAAAAAACCATTCGTGCACAAAGAAAATATACATTTGGGATATTAGTATACTAATCAATTAGATAAGGTAGTAAGTTTTATCTATATACTACTAAAACTCTTATTGTTATGGCTTTTAATTGGGTGAAACAGTGCATCATAGGTAACAGTGTTTAAACTGAGATATCTCAAATGGATTAACTTACAGAATGTGTGCAAAATCCAGACCCATGATTTGAGGGAATAAAATTGGGAAGGTTTTGGTTGCATCAGGCTGATGCTGTGGTTTGGGATGCTGCTTTCATCATGTGATGTTCATTTGGAATATTCTATAACAGTTTCCAAGCCACTCTCATAATCCCTTGCTTCCACCCCCACCCTCCAGCAGGAGCCATTTCCCTGCCTGCTGGGAAGGCAGGCAGGCAGGCAGGCAGGCAGGCAGGCAGGCAGGCAGGCAGGCAGGAAGGAAGGAAGGAAGGAAGGAAGGAAGGAAGGAAGGAAGGAAGGAAGGAAGGAGGAATCCTCCCTCACACACATCCTATTCAGCCCATGCCAATCCTCCGATGGCTGTGTGCCACCCTCTGAGCNCATTACTGAAATAAATGAACTTTTGCACGATATTCTAATTTTTCGAGTTTCATCTGTAAATCTAAGTGCTATTGCTATAGCAAGTCTTACCACTGAGTTATAGCTCCTTTGTATCTTACCTGTAATTTCCAGGTCAAAATCAGTGGAATAATAAATAAGACCTGGGTGCCAAGAAAGATGATGATCTTGTTTTGTTTGCAGCCTCCACTTACAAGCCAGAAGGAAGATGGCACCCACCTTGCATCAGGCATACCGGCGACGCTGGTGGATGGCCTGTACTGCGGTGGTGGAAAATCTCTTTTTCTCTGCTGTTTTGCTGGGCTGGGCCTCCTTACTCATTATGCTCAAACTTGAAGGCTTCTACTCCCATATGTGCACAGGTGAGTAAGATTGGGGGTGGGGTTCTGAGCCTATTAGGTGAAATGAAATGATAATGTGGGTTGTGGAGAGATTGCGGGTGCTATTCTGAGCAAAGTGTTGCATTTTTTATTCCTACAGATCCTTGCTTGCCCCATCCCCAATTCTGCACTTATCAAAACATTTGCAGATGAAGCAGATTGGGTCCTATTGATAAGGCCTCGGTAGGGACAGAATTAAGAATGAATCTGACAGAACTTTGACTAGTAACTTGTACTAATATTGTGTACTTGATAAAAGAGAGGGAAACTCAATGCAAATGGATTCAGCAGCTTCAGCCTTGGGGTCTGGCATTCATATGATTCTTCCAAGGATTCTACACAAATCTTGTAACATATGTGAGGGACTGAAGATGGGAGAATAAACGAATTAGTACCAAATTGATAGAGCTGGTTTTATTACATAGTAATGGCTTAAAACAGTTTCTGTGGGGTCCTTTATCATTAATTTTCATAAAACATCTCCACATTGTAGTTCCCCATGAAGTGCAGTTTCCCATGATCCTAATTTGTGCTAAAACTGTGAAGCATTCCATGTTGCAGGATGTAGCAGTGGTCCCTTACTCTGACCATCTGAGATTAACAATCCCACAAAGCTTGTTTCAAACCATCTTTTTGTAATAAACACACTGGATGGATTAGCTCTTATTTTCCTACTATTTTTCTCAAGGACCCCGAGAAATCTTAAAACAGTGTTCTTCCTTATAAAATTGACCTTGCATTTATAGGAAAAACAGATTACAATTCTTCCAAGTGCCTGAACCTCTCATTTTTTGGAGTCAGGCTTTTATTGTTTCTTGTGATACAGCACCTCAGATCACCGCCTGTCTCCTAAATCTTTGACAAGAAACAGATTATTGTCTGACTTTATTAAAATTTTAGAAAGAGCTGCTCTCACTATAAATGATGGCCAAATCCATTACTATTCCCTGCCCGCATTCTCTTTAACTTAGAATCACACCCTCCCCCCCCTCCGCCTTTCTTGGCCGGCTATTCTACTAGCAAAGCAATCCCTTTAGGTTCAGAATGAGCCCACAGCAATAATTTGGAACACTCAGAATGTGATTCAGATCCTGTTCCTTCCCAGGTCATTCTGCTCTTCTTTTTGCTTTCTCTGCTGTGCATGAGAATGTTGTGTTTAATCAACAATGTTGAACCAACAATCAAGAAATAATTCACCAATCATGGAACTACCAACTTAGAAAAACAAACTAATAATAAACAGCCCAATCAAGGTGCCACCAACTCCTACAAACACTGAGAGGGCAAGCCACTAGTATATAAAATGAGAGCAAAGCCCATTGCCTTCTACCACTGATGATGTTACCTAGTCTGGTAATGCAGTGTCTGAAGAAAACAACCAAGCTCAGAGAGCATCAAAGACCTCCACAATTTTGTGTTTCTTCAATGCAGCAAGAAGGAAGATGTGCAACAGGACTTGATTGTGCTTCTTTAGGAACAAAAAACAACCATGCCCTAGGGTAGAATAAATGTAAAATGGGATTTGAAATCAATGTTCTAATCTATTTTGTCATTTCTCTTTAGATAAGAGTAACACCAATGTTTCAATTGTGGTTAATGTGACCCATCCCTTCAGTTGTGTGGCACAGGAAGAAATGCTTACCTTGGGTTTCACCATTGGCTCCTTTCTCTTGAGTGCGGCTACTTTGCCTCTTGGCATCCTGATGGACCGACTTGGACCAAGGCCACTTCGCCTACTTGGCAGGTAAGAAGAACAAGGTCTCTACGCTGGAGCAAATGGCATGGTGGCCTATTGAAGAAAATACTTGGAAGGAAGAAAAAAAAATGCCTTGGAGGTTACTAGGTCACAAATTCTCATTTCAGTAGAAATGAATAAGTATTAGAAAGTGAATTTGTAGATTAGAAACTGCACTGGAACGGGGAGGGAGAATTGACAATAGACTGCAACTTTTAACGTGGAGAGTGTAATTGTGAAATAATTGGGGGATAATTTTCAATAACCTTTGGTATCTTTTTGAGGCAGAAGTTTCATACCCGGAGCTTTTCAGTTGTGTTGCACAGCAACTCACAATATGGCTGCTAGAATTCTGGGAGTTGTTATCTATATATCAAGAGGGCACAGGTTGAGGAAAACTGCTTTGAGGACATAAATGATTTGATATATCTTATTATTTCTTTATAGTGCCAGCTTTGCTCTCTCCTGTGCTCTTATGGCTCTGGCTGCCTACAACCCATTAGGTGAGAAGAATTTTTGTGTTAATTGAATTAGTAACTTTTAATTACTTACAAATGGGAAAGTCTTCTCTCTTCTGTGATTTCTCTCTCCTGACTTTCTCCTGGTTCTATCATACAACTCAGCCCACTCAATTTGGTTTCCTGCCTTTGTGGCCCCACATGTGCACTATGAGTAATTTGGTTCATAGAGAAATGGCCCTGGAGGGTTATGGCTTCATCGTTAATGGCTCTAGATATATTAAAAAGACAGGTTCTTAAATTGGCAATCTTAAATCCCTTCAACTATCTCCACACTCAAATGTGCTAGATTACAGCTTGTGTCTTCCCCAACGGGACATTTGTGGAAAAGATGGATCTATTCCTTAAAAAAAACTTATACCATGTTCTCAAGTCTTTCTGCTATCCCAGGAGTCTTCCATTATATTTCTATTTCTCACAAATCTCCATTCCTTGTGAACACCATCCATCTTCTCATCCCATATTTCTGTTCTCCTTCCCAGTTCTTTCTCCATTGATTTTTCTTGGCCTTTCCTTAAATGGTTTTGGTGGAATCTGCCTGACCTTCACCTCCTTAACTGTAAGTACTGAAATAACCTTTCGCTTGGCCTGTCTAACTAGAATTCTTCCAGCAAGATCAAAACAGCTTGTTCTGAGGTCAGGGTGGATCATTCTGGTCTTAAATTATTTTTCCCATCCCTGGATTAAAGACCTACTGGCTTAGTTTTCAGAGCTTAATTAGTTTGTTCATTTTACTCAGATTTTCTATATTGCTCAACTTGAGAAATTTCAGGCACAATCTGTAATTGATTGGCTTTGCCAAGACTTTCTACTAAATTTCTACTAAGCTGAGACCACAGCTTTGGGTCTGGGCCTGTTTTGATTGGGTGTGTCTGTTTCACTTCATTTCAGACACGTTGATTACACATTTATTTTTAACTGAGCCTAGATTTACTCTTGGCTGAACTGAAAGACACACCAGGAATCTCATGTCTTTTAGAATGTAAATATTACAGAAAGCATTTACCAAAAAGAGAGAGATTCCTCAGATCACTAAGCTTACAACAGATCTATAAATTAGAACCAGTTCTTTTGTAGTGCAGTCATAAGTTAGAAGCGAATTCTTCCTGAATTCCCACTGTTTTACATAAGAAGTGAAAGGTCACTGCCCCAACCTCTTTTTTTGTGACTTGTAGAGCTCTTTCTGACTGTGATTGCAGGGATAGGATAGTAAAGAACTATTTGGTGGCTGGGGAAAGGGGCAAGGGCCATAGTGGGTAGTGATGATTTGTTATAGCAGCCCCCAAAGACTCTGGATCCAGTACATACATTAAAACATATTACAAGTTAATTCAATTGACTGCCAGGAGTTCAGTCCTCAACAGCTTAAAGTTGACTCAGACTTCCATCCTTTTGAAATCGGTAAAATGAGGATCCAAATTGTTGGGAGCAATAGGCTGGTTCTGTAAACCGCTTAGAGAGGGTTGTAAAGTGTTATAAGTGGTATATAAGTGTTATTGCTGTTTCAGCACAGTATAAAGAGTCATAATAATAAAATACCAATATAAACAAACACATGGAAGCGTTTGTAATGGGGGCTCCAATAACACAAACAATTGGAGAGTCGGGAGGATGTGGAGAGTAGAGATGTGGCTTTCCAGAGGACAGGAGCTATGATACACAAGGTGTGCTTCCTCAGTCCCACAAGAAAGAGAGCATTTAATTGACATGATCTGAAGTGGCCCCACTCCATCCGAACATATCAGGTGGGCAGAAGGATTGAAGTCAACTAGTTCCACAGATGTGGCAATTCAAACAGAGTGTCTACTTTGTGGACTTGGGCTGGGATATTCTGTCTTGAATGGATTGTGAGAGAAGGTTGGCTAATTTTTTGTTTCTAAAACATCATTAAGCTTATTTGAGGTTTACAATGCACATCTGTATGGTCCTCTTCTCAAAACAATAGGAATCCAAAGTTCAGTATTGTAGCTTTAAGTGCCTTTCAGCAAAAAGGAGGAGACTGTGTGAAGGCCTCTACTGCTGCCACAGCTCTGCTGGGAATTGCTGCACCTGTAATTTGATCCACCGGCTGATTGCTTGCTTGCTTGCTTGCTTGAGTTTATTATACATGGAAGCAGCTCTAAGCAGCATACCAATAGAAGAAACAAAAACTGGTTTAACATGCATAGCAGAAAAGAACATCAACTACTCACATTGGGGAAACATCAGTGTAGAGCAACATACCCCAAGTGAGGTCATTAATTGCCTTGTCCCAGAACCTATTGAAGAAAACCAAGGTATCAAGGCCTCCCTAACAGGCCACATAGGGCTGGGTGGGGCAGATGGTGCTCCAGAGGGCGGAAACAGCCTCAGAGAAAGCACATCTCTGAGCTCCAGTCCAGCCTTGTGGCATTTCTTCAGGGATGGGCTCTGGAGCATATCAATCTGGTTAGAGCTTTATGTTGCATGATTTTGTATTCATGGCTTGCAGGGCTGATTAAATAGCCACTGTAATTTGCTTGTACAACAATGAATGTCCTTGTGCTTCAAATCGAATTGCTTGGACCAAAGAAATTCCAAGAAGCATGGATCCATAATTTTTGCAAGGCATCCTGCATCGTCTGGCACTAGAAGATGCCAGAGCCACCATGAGCTCTGATTAGACATGATTCCACGTAAAAGCCAGGATGCATTGTGCTTCTGGGCCACTGGAAGGATATACCATATTTTTCAGAGTATAAGACGCACCTTTTTTCTTCAAAAAATAGGCTGAAAATCTGGGTGCATCTTATACATCGAATTCAGCATTTTTTGCCTCCAGAACCCCCGCCCCTTCACCAAAATGGTCATGCATACCCTTATGGAGGCTTTCAGAGAGTTCCTGAGGGCTGGGGATGGCGGAAATGAACAAAATCCGGGTCATTTTTTGCCCACCCAGCCCCCAGCAACACTCTATAAGCCTCCATAAGGGTATGCATGACCTTCTTTTGGCAAAAAACGGGCTGATTTTTGCTCATC